CCCTAGGAAGCAGGCAATGGCAAACCACTTCCAAAATCTTGCCAAGAAAACTGCAGGGACCACTCCAGGCAGTCGCCAGGAGTCCACACTGACTCGAAGGCACGTGCAATGTGGCACTAGGTGGGGGTTGGACTAGGTGATCTCTAAGATCCCTTTCAATTCCTCCATTCTATGATTCTTACCCTGTTTTGTGAATCAGATCATCTACTTTGGCTTAGCATGTTCCCTGCAGGTAGCTTTTGCCATCCGCTTAACCAGTTGTGTGAGCCCAGGCAGCCAGAGAGCCCCGTTCATGCTGCCCTGGGCAGAAAGGAGGGCCACCAAATGTAACTCGGTGAAAAATCCCTGCGAAATACTTTTAGCCACATTCTAAGGCGCTCTCCTTATGAATTAACCCTCAACAAAGAGAGGGCGAGGATCATGTTCCCCGCGGCCTCTGGGGCAGGGGAAGGGTCGAGGACGGAGGAGGGGCGGGCTCTTAACGCGAGAAGGATGCACGCGGGACGTAACGCCACAAGGGCTGCGAGCTGGGCTAGGGGGAAACGTGTCCACCGGTCGTGAGAAGAGGAGGTCACGGGACGCGAGGCGGCGGGGGCCAGCTCCGAAGCGAGCGCCCGCTCTGAAGGGAAGCGTCTTCCTCTTCTTCCCCCCGGCTGCCACGGATGCCCGAATTCTGCAGCCGCGACCCGCGTGGACCCGTGCAGGACCGCGGGCTCACCCCCGGCTCGCTCTCTCTCTCTCTTTGCACCGGAGAAGCTGGCAGGACGAGAGGTCACGCCTCCTCCTCGCCTCCCCCCGCCCGCTCCTCCAGCTCCCGTCCAGGTGCAAACACAGCCTCCTTTTTGCATTTCCTCAGCGCGCAGCCCCTCCCCGCGCGCCCCACGGAGCCAGAAAGGAGGCGGCGAGGCCGAGGCAGCCCGGGAGTTCCTGCTGCTCCCCGGCCCGACTCGCACGGCCGCTTTGCAATTCCCACCGCCGCCGCCCGGGTCCGTCCCCCTCCGCGACCCAAACCTGAGCGACTCCCGCTCCGACATCATCCATGGCCTCGCGCGGCGGTGGCAGCAGAGCCGGCCCCGCG